TTTCCAGTTTCGAAGTACTACAGTGATATCTGAAGTGAACATGGATGTTAAGTGTAGGTAAATCGGAATGACCAGTTCCAGGATGTGTATCATAGATTCGATTGGTGGTCATTATCTAAATCTGCTTAACTATCCTTTTGACTGATGGAAACATTGAAACTACTAGCTGAGAGCTTACAAATGCCCAAAGAGACGGGTTAATTACTGTTGTTTCTGGAGTTCAAGTGAGTTTTGAGCAATGTAGATACACCTTGTCAGGTGTGAAGCTGTTATCCACCGAAAACAATAGATGATAGAGCAGTACCGTGAATTAATTCAAGTTCGACATTGACACTGTTGGACACTGACTCGGTGGTATACAGATTAGGCATTTGCCCGCAAGCTTGAATGTATTGTGTTCGATTCTCATGTGTTTGTGCAAGGATGCGCACTGTCGAGGAGTTCCATATTATAACGGAATGGCTGTTCAGTGCTCCCAGGTTTTCAGTGTTCGTTTAACATTGATCGTGTGTAATTTCCATGATACTCAAAACTAGTTGATATTTACTGGTGCGTTGCTTGGAATAACAGCGTGGGCGAAAGTGACTGATCATTGAATAGATGTAACAAATACCTTGTTCATCTAGTCATCAGTACTAAACGAATCCCACCGACCGAGTTATACTGTGGTCAATAGTTATAGTTACTGGGCGACAAGCATACTATATTTGGATTTTAAATGGTTCGAGGTAATCACTGAAATGCCCAGAAACTATGTTCTATGTTAGTTGGTACTTATTACGTACTTACTTACTGACGCCTGTTACTCCTCGTGGAGCAGCATTGGCTGCCCAACAAGATACGGAATTGAACTCTATCCTGAGCAACTCCTTCCAGTAGTTTCCAGTTGCTGTTCATCCTTTTGATGCCTGCTTCCAATTCTCTGTGCAGTGTGTTCTTTGGACTTCCTCTTTCCCATTTCCCTTCAGAATTCCAAGTTAGCGCTCGCATCGTGATCCAGGTTGGTGATTTTTGCAACATCTCTCCATAATTTCATCTTCAGATGGAAGAAGATTTGTTCTCCTTTTAAGTAGGTTGTTGCTGATGTTATCCGATCAAAGGACATTCAGTATCTTCAGTAGACAACTATTTACAAATTACTGTACACATTTGATGATGGTTGTAGTAGTTCTCCAAGTTTCAGATTCGCACAATAGAACTCAATGAATTGACATTCGTATTGCAAATTCTCAATTTGATGTTTTGAGTTGCAAATGTTCTTCAGTTGTGGGGATGCGGCCCTTGTCTCACAAATTCGGGTATTCACATCTGCGTCCGATTCACATTGTTCATCGATGACGCTCCTCAAATATGTAGAAGTTGTGACCTCTTCTAGAGTTTTTCCATCAAGCGTGATTGGGTTGGTAATTTCTGTTTTGTATTTGAGGGTCATGCATTTTCCTTTGTGTATGTTGAGGCAAACTGATTGAAAGGCTGTCACTACACCAGTTATCTTCATCTGTATTTGTTCGTGTGTATGTAATTGAAGGGTTAGATTATATGAGAATTTCGAATCACCTAGTTGCATGCAAGCTGTTGATTGTATTCCATGCTTCCCCTCAGATATCGAGGTTTCCATAATTCATTCGATCACGAGAAGAAATAGGAAGGGTGAGAGTAAGCAGCCTCGTTTGACACCGACCCTCACAAAAAATACATCTGTTAGCTGCCCTTCATGCACTACTTTGCACTGTAGTCCATCGTACGAATTCCGGATTATTTTGACGATCTTTTTAGCAAAACCATATTGTCGAAGAATGTCCCATGAGGTTTTCCGGTCCTGCTGATATCCCACTATTGATATATCTGATGTTCATTCTGATTTCTTCGATAATTGGTGAAATGACATCTATAAAGAGATCTATGTGTGTTGTTTAGATATCCGGTTAGTTTAGTGAGGCAAATCTGTTCAAGAATTCCTCAGGGTTTTCTACCCACCTGTTCCTCTGGTCCTGAATCTCAGTGATTGGCTTACTTTCTAATTTCTCGACTGGTTGGTCCTCATCAGTGAGCAAATTCAAATTCTTTGTGAATTAGCCGGCTTTCTAAAATTTCATGTACTCAAAGGCAAATATCACAAAAACTAGATGTTCTAGACCATATCCTACCGATATATATCATAATTAAAATGACATAAGCCCCCTAATATGTATGAACAAACTAATTTTCATTGAACAGCGTTACATATGGTGTTTCAATGCTTCATAATTTATACCCTGAGGTCAAAGTGAACGTATGAGATTAATGAAATCGTGGAAATTGCGAGCGGAATAAATTGAACTACCGATTCATTCGAATATAAAGCATGCAAAATAGAAACAGATTTGATTGAGTTGTTATAAGATAGAGGATATTATAAACTCGAGATTACTGGGTAATTATTTTATTCTTGCTTGGGATTTATTAAGATTTCGGACTCATAACTAGTCACTGATTCTTTGTAAGACTTCAGAAAATCAGTCGCGAAACTAGTCATTAATGTCCACATGAATGTCACTTAGACGTATACTGTGCAGACGAATGAACTGCGGAAATTACTTTTGTCAAACGCTCAGCTCAAAAACACGAAACTACTCTACACAACTTTTTTTCATTGGGATATTTAACTTAAGCAAGGACAACCAGTAAACAATGTAATTGATTATGATCAGAGTTGGATGGTCGCTAGAAATGGAATCTAGGACTCGTCAATTGGATTTACCTTCAATACAGAGTTGATGGTCGCTTCGGAACTCGAACCCGGTAGCGTTCTCTTCAAAAACAATGGCGTTATTCACTTAGCTACTGAGTCCAGATAGCCACTAGCTTGTGTAATGGTGTGAAATTTAATTCCTTTATATCGACTGTTCGAATATTTACATTGTTTAAAAATTCATTCGATCAGTCATTGCATAGATTGTTTCAGTATCATTCATAGTCTCAAGCATCCCGGTCGTAAACAAACAATGGGAAGATTCAAACAACCAATACAAATGAATTCATATAGTTGATTGTTTAAAACAAAATGTACATACTTTATATCATATTAGTAAAGATTAACAATAAACAGCAATAAATATAGATGAACTATTTTAAAAAAATGTTCCAATGTGTAGTGAATCCGAAAATGATCATTATGCGGTTGTGGAGATTATCAAGTTTTTGATTAAGATCATAAACGGATTGAAGCTAGACCACCATGGGAAACCTGGGAGCACTGAACGGCCGTTTCACCCTATTGTGGGACTCCTCAGTAGTGCGTATACATGATCGTGCTCGCAGGATTCGAACCCAGGGCCTTCGGTTCTGATTCCTAACCAATGATGTACATAGGCTCTAGTATCCTAAGGGAACAAATAACGTATGAACCTATTGTTGGTCACCGGCTACCATAGGACTGCATCTTCTGACATTGTTCCATTGCCTTGTGGATGAAACCTTAAGGTCAAAGGCTCCGGTCGTGCTCCCCTAAGAAAAACACCTACTGCACACGGACAGTATTCCAGACCTCCCACAAATCAATAATAACTGCTACTGGTCTCATTTTTATTGTGTAGCACATATGTATTTGGTACTGTCTTGTACCAATGGTTATGTGTTCAACTAATTAAATAAATAATCTACCTTACAATCACAAATTAAAAGGGTATCGTACGTGAAACTTTTAAATTTTCAAGTTGACACTATTAAAGAATTGAGACTGATTGGTCAATATTTTCAACTATAATCAGTTCATAATTAAGTGTGACAGTCATTTAATACAATAACGATTGATCTTCATAAGTCATATCTCCTCTTACAACTTCTTTTTCCATAAACGAAAACAAAAACCGTTTAGTTTCAAAAACTCTTCCAATTATCTTCCAAAACTTTTGAAATTTTTAGAAAAACAAGCTCATAGAAAACAAACTTTAAACAAAACAAATAAATATGCCTATTTAAATGAATATCATGAATGGATCACCATTAAAAAACATAGAGGCATTACATAACCATTTGATCCCAGTCTAAGATTCTACATTCAAGATCGTAGATGTACACTGTTAAAGAATTCTATACTAGAATGAAAAACGGTATTCTAGTACTTCAATGTTTTCAGTGATAATCCAACACTGATCTATTTATGACATCAATCTAAACTTAACAATACTGATATATATATATATATATATTTCAGATGGGTTTTGTGGATATTATAGTAATTTCAATGGTTACGATCATGAGTCAGTTGAAGCTAGATCACCATGGAAAACCTGAAAGCACTGGACGGCCGTTTCGTCTTACTATGGGACTCCTCATCAGTGCGCATCCAAGACCTCGCCCCTGCAAGTTTCGAACACAAGACCTATCAGTCTCGTGAGCGAACGCTTAACCTTGAGAGCATTGAGCGGGCCGGCATCCAACGGCATTGATGTCTAACTTCAACTAGTCCACGAAATGGAGCAACACATCCATCATTGTCTTCAGTGAGTTACCATCTCACAACAGACCAGGTTGAACTCCACTGGTCACTACTTCTCACTAGAACACCAGAATATACCTCAATTTCGTGGATTAGTTAAAGTTAGACATTAACACCGTTGGATGCCGACCGGCTCAGTGGTCTAGTGGTTAAGTGCTCGCGCTCGAAATCAGTAGGTCCTGGGCTCGAATCTTGCGGGGGCGAGGTTGTGGATGTGCATTACTGAGGAGTCCCATATTAGGACGAGACGGCCATCCAGCGCTTCCAGGTTTTTCATGGTGATCTAACTCCAACTGACTCATGATCTTAACCCACACTAAATACCGAAAAAATGAATTTTGTGACAAATTCACATATTTAAAACACCCACATATAAATTATTCCAATTTATGAGTATTCAATAAATCAGTTTCTTTGATTGTTTCTATCCTACAAATAAATTGACTGTGTTTGTCGTTTATTACATACTATAGATAATATTACATATATATACATAGATGCACAAACTATACACACATAATTGGGTATTTCTTATAATAAATGGTGTTATATAATCTAAGTGAATATGTGATTATTGTAATTTGATTATTGTAATTAACATCCATTATCAAGATGGACATCATTTACAGTTGGTGGATTATCTGGTGTTTATTAAATCTCATTTTAAATGGGAAAAGTGAGTCAATTTAATTATCTGATAATCAATGATTGGTGAGACTATAATTTATGGACGAATTAATCAGCTTTACGACAACAGGTCTTGTATTTTTGGCGCGAAATTTATTCACCCATTTGGTTAAATGGAATCCTGGTATGATAGTTGATGTTGGTTCGTGATGAAGAACCGTAAATCTTATTCCTAACTCTAACCATCAACTATAAATCATAATCCTTATTCTTCAAACTGCTTTATAACCCTTACTTAGCCCTAGTAAGTCGGTAGACACACTCAAGATCACTTTAGCGTCACTCAAAGGTCGTCCATATATTATAGTCTCACCTAATTGTTTTTTTTGTTTTTAGAAAATTATTTTTTTATCATATTTTTTGTTCTTTTTCTTCTTCTCAATTTCCTTTCACTAAATTGAATACTCTTCAATCAAACTTAATCCTGATTGATACTGGAATAACTAAAGAGATGATTAATTAGTTAAGTGTTTATTTAGTTAGATAATCCATGCCGGCTCAGTGGTCTAATTGGTTAAGCGCCTGGAGCGAGACTGATAGGCCCTGGGTTCCAGCCTCGCGGGGTGCAGGGTCGTGGATGAGCACTGCTGAGGAGTCCCATACTAGGACGAAACGGCCGTCCAGTGCTTCTAGGTTTTCCATGGTGGTCTAACTACGATTGACTCATGATTTCAATCAGTGGAATTTCTAAAATCTCCACAAACCCCATCTGGAAATTAGAAATTCATTCGTTTGTTTATTTATATAATTCATTTAAACATATGAACATTGGTACAAGGAGGCACTAAACAGATATGCGCCACACTTTATCATTCAATTTGTATAAGGTCTAGAATACTACTTGGCTGCCCAAACCGCAGCAAGTTGCTTCCTTAGAGGGTCACTCTCTGTACCTTTGACCTAGAGATCTAGTTTACAAGGCAATGGAACAATGTTAAAAGATACAGTCCCATGGTAGCCGGTGAACAATAATTAGTTCATACGCTGTTTGTTCCTTCAGGATCATGGAGCAAATGTGCACCATTGGTTTGGAATCGCGATTTTCCAACTCTACCAGATTGATTCTCCACATCCACTAGTCCGGTTAAAGCACCGGACATTCTCTTTCCATTCTTTTAATTTTGTAAACAACACCGTCGCCACAAGAATTCAGTGAGTAGGACTTCGTTGGTTGTGGTTGTATTCGAGTAGCCATGTGAGAGCGTTTCGAGAGGATGAGCTGAATTTCCCCACCCTCGACCTTATTAGGGTATTTAAGGGCGATCATCACTGATAATCCGTATGATATACATATATATATATATATATAATATATATACATATATATACCAGAGAATTACATAACGACTTGAAGAAAGATAAAATGGACCGAAATTTTAGGAAAATAGTTCAACGAAAATGATTATCAGGACTCATTAGAAAAGTGAACAACGCCATAGCGTTTGAAGCGAACGGTGCTGGGTTCAAGTCCCAGAGTGAACATCAACTCTGGGATGCAGGTAAATCAAGCTGACGAGTCTCAAATAGGACGGAGCGCGAGTCTTGAATTCCACTGCTAGCCACTATCCATCTTTGTTTATTATGAAAATAATTATTGTTTATGGTATATAAGAACAATATGAATTTTAACAATCAACAAGAGTTACCTTACAAAAAAATGTCTGTTCAAGATTTAAATTATCAAAGGTTTAAAGTACTGTAGACCAATGTTTTCTCTTGGTTGACATTTCATTGGAAGATATCCAACTAGGAAGTGCTAGTTGTGTTATATCCCAAGGAGATTAAATTATGTGTAACTTCTCTAAACTATTTATAGACTGTTGTTCGCTAAAAGGAAATCACCTTATAATTATGAAACATGGTGATTTTTAATAACTATGCATAAGTCAATTTCCTGTTGACTATCTCCAATCACCATCTTATCTCAATATAGTGCACACAATGTCGAGTCACCTAGACTAGTGGCCACATTGCAACTTGGTCCACAGGATTCGATCTGCACTAAGATGGAGCTGACAAAATATGACATTGATCACCACCCAGTGTTTAATCAGTTGTAATTTACCTTTAAGTTTATTCAACTAAACCTTACTGAATATTATCATTTTGTCAGTTATTACGATCACGTACTGATATTGATCTTAAGGCAAGTAATCAAATTAAAACTTAATTGTAGCGGAATATTATTTTGAAGAGTCTGTATTTGTTGATGTTAATTATCCAACTTCTTTGACAATATATAGGTATTTATTCTAAGCTTATGGCCATGAAATTGTTATTTTGGTCACAAGGATTTACTAAAGTTAGACCATAGATAGTAGTTAGATTCAAGATGCTTGTTTCATCCTATTTTGGTCTCTTCAGCTAGAGATACTTCTATCCTAATGGTAATTTTCACAGAGAAACTCTAACATTGTATCTTTCGCTCAAAATGTGGTAAATAATTAACTAAAATTATTTTCATCATTATTTATAAGTTTAGAACTAGTCAGTTGCATTATGGTGTGTGCTACTGACGTCGACATATATAAGTAGTATGTATCATGGAATCGAAAGTGAAATGCTTGACAGTAGAAGGTTAAGATCGGAGAAAAGAGAACAAGAACAAAGAATGATTGCACATGGACTATTTTTTATATAGTTTTCAGATTTTACAAAGGCGTTCTGTAATTTACGTGTTGAATTACAATCGATTGTCCTTACTTGCATTCTCGTTTACTACAGCATCCTTTTAATATTTTTGATATTATTAAATTCTCTGAGATGAGTAGCTGAAATTTGGGGTTGTCATTGTTGTTTTGAAGAAGATCTTCAATGTTTACTTTTTATGGAAGCAAATTCTTCTTCAGTTAATCCACAAGTTTTAAATTAATTCGTCATTCAACATGAAAAATTAATTCCATATGAAATCTGAACAAGTAAAGTACCAATTTCGATATGTAATAATGTAAAGTTGTAAAATATTTATCATTACTTACTTACTTACGCCTGTTACTCCCAATGGAGCATAGGCCGCCGACCATCATTCTCCAACCCACTCTGTCCTGGGCCTTCTTTTCTAATTCCATCCAATTCTTGTTCATTTTTCCCATGTCTATCTCCATTTCCCGGTGTAATGTGTTCTCTGGTCTTCCTCTTTTCCTTTGGCCTTGAGGATTCCATGTGAGAACTTGTCTTGTGAAGCAGTTGGATGCTTTCCTCAATGTGTGTACCATCCACTTCCTAATTTCTTCCTCCGCTGGGATCTGGTTTGTTCTTTCCCACAGTCCGTTGTTGCTAATTTCTCGCATAAACTGTATTGAAAAGAGATTTTGAATTTGTCTATGATATTAAGATATTACTTTTAGATAAAGTTTTGTTCTTTGAACTGGATGATTTGTCGTAGATCTTCCATCACTCTTCTGAACTACATCATCAGTACAGACTTTTATCTACACAACTAAACCATCGAGCTCAGAGAACAAAACTTTGTCAAAATCTTCTCCCCCATATTTCTTTTAGATCTATTTAGGTTATAGAAGCTATACTGATTGTATATAAGTCTATTTATAAATATCACTGTGTATATAGAAAATTAAGATAAAATGTTTGTAAAGAGAACGTTTCAGGAAGCAGAAATCTTACTGTGATGAACGAGAACTACGGTGAGAAAAACGCCAAACTACTAAGTCATGCAGTAGATTAGTAAAATATGAAACTTATACAAATACATATTTATGTTCTCCTTTACATACACCATTATTCTTCTAATTCTGTTGTTATTTTGATTTCACATTGATTTCCTTTCTGCTTTCTTTATTATGATCTTCTGCTGTCAGGCATTTCACTTTCGATTACAGTTACATGCTACTTAAATCTGTAAGCATAAATAGCATACACCACAATATTAATAATTTACCTTTTTTCTTCTCATTTCAGTTGGTCAAGCGCAAGAAGACAGTAAGTTTTAGTTACGATATTCTGTTAAACTTACTGTTTTATTTCTCGGAAACATTTGTAATAACTTCATATATATACAGCTAATGATAAGTGGGACACGAATATGCATAGTTTACCTACTTAACAATTATACGATAATAATAATACGCATAATATTGGTCCATAAATGGATTCCAACAATTACCATTCATTATTCTCATCAGGATATAACACTGTCCAATGCTTCTAGGTTTTCCATCGATGTCTAGCTTCAATTGACAAATGAATCCAACTATAAAATTAACTAAAATCTCCACAAAACTCCTTCTGATAATAATCGATACCTGTTTCCATATGGATATTTCTTTTCAATGTTTCAATTGTGATTAATGTCATAGCAACTATTTGTCAATTATTCTCTTGATAGATGTAAATGATTCAAAGTTCAAACATTGAATGTTGAACGAAAAAAATAATAGTTTGGCTAAATCACAACTATTCATTATTGATTATTGTCCAAATTCCAGTTTATGTAAATCCTTGTTATATGTCAATCATTTTAACAGAATATTAGATATATGAAACCAGAAAACATGATCCTATTTACAAACTTTAATTTAATATGTAACTTTCTATCGTTTACTGATGAAACGAAGTACGAATTCATGACAAAAACACACACACACACAAAGATAATTAACTTACTTACATACTGACGCCTGTTATACCTCATAGAGCAGGATAGGCAGTTCATCAGAATTCTCTGTCTAACTCTGTCCTGGACAACCCTATCCAGTTGCTATTCATCCTCTTCACATCTACTACCAATTTTGTGCGCAGTGTGTTGTTTGATCTTCACCCTTTTTCGTTTCTCTTCAGGATTCCAAGTTAGCGCTTGTCTTTTGATGCAGTTTAATGATTTCCTCAATGTGTAGGCTATCGATTTCTAGCATCTTTTTCTAATTTCCTCTTCAGTTGATGTTGTATTTAGTCGTCATAGATTGTTGTGCCGGAAAATGCGCTGACCACTTATACTAGGAACGAGGGACCCCTGCAATTATCACGATGCGAAGTAAGAACAGTAAGACTGGTATAAGTGAAGATTTATTAGCCCCAAAACACAATGACAACGAACGATGATCAAAATAGTCTAAAATACACTGGTTTATATATTGATTTTACACCCATTTTTGATTAATAATTAGGATTAAATCACATACTCAGTTATAACAAATCACTTACTGAGCATAGTCCATGTCAACTGAATACAAGAATATTGTATATTATACAGAAGAAAATATTATACTGGGAAAACAAATCAAATACTACACTGAATGATCCCCAGGTTAAATCAGAACGGATGTTGAATGTTGAATAAAACTCGTCATGAGTAAATCAATCGAAATTTGATTTTTCTTTCCATCATATCAGTTGAATGTTTATTCGTTCTCTCCCATAGTAGCCTGTTACTGATGGAAAAATAAATAAGATTTGTATATATTCTAAACGTTTTAACATAACCCTCCAGTTATCAGTGTTCAATAAAAGTGAATCATCTAACATTTTTGATCATTTCCGTCGTTTATTTAGTTGCTCAACAGAACATATAAGAGCATAATTTTCACTGACAACTACAGTTCCACCATTTAACGTCATCTAAATATGTCTTCTATAAACAAATCACTCTACGACATTCCAAAGTACAGAATGAAAAGAGAAAATCAAGTGACTGTTAAGGATTGAAATGAAGTTTTCAGTGAAAACCTTACTTTACACACACTATTCACTTACTTAATGAACAGGAAACTACATAGTTCAATGTTATCATGTTAGTTTCATTGTGATCTGAATGCTTTCAATGATTTCGTCTATGTGATTGTTTATTTATGGTATTTATACTAAGTAATAACTCCTTTGTACTTGATTGCGCACTTATTACGAATTACAAATATAAAACGTTTAGTAGTGTTCATCTAGTTCTACCTGACATAAATCGAACTATTTCGGGAAACCTTAGTTAACACATTAATTCGAATACTTCTGTTTAACATAGTATTTCTCATTGTTAAGTTGTCTTAAACCTTATGGATTCAGTTGATAAATGATCCCTGAATACTGTTTATTCTTCAGTTGATGTTAACTTAGTTTACTTATGTACCCTTTAAATTATGCCAAAAAAACTGCATATAAACACATACCTCAATAAATTTAAACTGGTTTATTAGTTACTTTAATCTAATTAATTAAATGTTTAGGTTCCACAGAAGATCCTATTACTGGTAAGTCTGATCAGTTCATTACTTACATACTTACTTACTTACTCATTTACGCTTGTCACTCTCGATGGAGCATAGGTCACGGAACAGCATTCTACAACCCACTCTGTCTTGGGTATACCTTTCTAGTTCTATTCAATTGCTGTTCACTCTTCTTATGTCTGTCTCCGTTTCTCGACGTAATATGTTCTTCGGTCTGCCTCTTCTCCTATTGCCTTGAGGATTCCATGTGAGGGCTTGCCTTGCGATGCAATTGGGTACTTTTTTCAGTGTGGTCGTACCCATTTCCAGCGCTTTTCCCTGATTTCTTCCTCCACTGGAATCTGTTCATAACTGTATGTATTTCATTTAGGCAATTTTTTAAAGTTTCATTAAGACTTTGTCATATATTTTCAATGGGAGTTGAAAATTATATATTTTTTTATCGTGTAATATGTACTTACATATGTTTCTTAGTTGAAATGAATTGATCGATTTCATGGTTGTTAACATTTGTCAAAATGTAACGAAATTTTGGACAGAACTAGCATTTTCAGCAGAATTAGAAACATTATTTTCCACTGTCAGATTCCTGGAAGTTAACACTGCGTAAACCGAACTGTGACTGAATTTCGTTGAGAATAAATCTGCCACTTTATAACAATCATCGTTTTTATAAGCAAAGAGGTATGGTGGCTAGTAGTGGAATCCAAGATGGGTGTGGTTATCTGGACTTAGTAGCTAAGTGGATAACGCCTTGGCGTTTGAAGTGAACGGTACTGGGTTTGTGTACCAAAATGAACATCAACTCTGTAATGCAGGTACATCCAGATGACTAGTCCAAATATAGGACGAAACGTGAGTCTTTGATTCCACTCCTAGCCTTTATCCATCTTTGCTTACAATACTTGTGACTTAAAGCAATATCGATGTAATCTGTACAGTATACACTTATGCCGATAAGAGACTGATCAACTGCAGACCTAAGCATCAATGGGAAGATTTAAACAAACAATAGAATAATGACTTAAATCACCGTCTTCTTTTCTAATATTTAAAACTGACCGAAATCTAACGAATGATTTGTAACAGTTTGCTCACTTTACAACTGTATAGTTGATTGAAAGTGATGTGCATATAGATGAGGAATAGGATCAGTATGTTTTAAGAATAACGTCAGTGTAATAAAATTCTAATAAATTATAGGTCTGACTTAAGGTGCTAACGTCAATAAAAGTAAGGTCAAGGAGATAAAACCGATATCTAGACCATTTCAGACACATGATCATCTAGACTTACTTACTTACTTACTTACTTACGCCTGTTACTCCTCGTGAAGGAGCATAGGCCGCTCACCAGCATTCTCCATCCAACCCTGTCCTGGGCAATCCTTTCCAGCTCCTTCCAGTTGTAATTCATCCTTTTCATATCTGCTTCTATTATCCGACGTAATGTGTTCTTTGGCCTTCCTCTTTTCCGCTTCCCTTCAGGATTCCAAGTTAGGGCTTGTCTCGTGATACAGTTTGACGATTTGCGTAATGTATGTCCTATCCATTTCCATCGTCTTCTCCTAATTTCCTCTTCAGCTGGAAGTTGGTTTGTTCTCTCCCACAGAAGGCTATTGCTGATGGTATCTGGCCAATGGATGTTGAGTATCTTGCGTAGACAGCTATTTATAATACTTGTACTTTCTTCATTGTGGTTGTTGTAGTTCTCCAAGTTTCAGCTCCATACAGTAGAACTGCCTTGACGTTCGTATTGAAGATTCTCACTTTGATATTGGTTGAAAGTTGTTTTGAATTCCATATGTTCTTCAATTGTAGGAATGAGGCCCTTGCTTTGCCAATCCTCGCCTTTACGTCTGCATCTGAACCTCCTTGTCCATCGACGATGCTTCCCAGGTATGTGAAGGATTCTACATCTTCCAGAGTTTCGCCATCAAGAGTGATTGGATTGCTGTTTTCCGCTTTGAATTTGAGGACCTTCGTTTTTCCTTTGTGTATACTGAGGCCTACTGATGCAGAGACTGCTGCTACACTGGCTGTCTTCATCTGCATCTGTTCGTGTGTACGTGATATAAGAGCTAGGTCATCTGCGAAGTCCAGATCGTCTAATTGGTTCTGAGCTGTCCATTGTATTCCGTGTTTTCCTTCAGATGTCGAGGTCTTCATAATCCAGTCGACCACCAGAAGAAAGAGAAAGGGAGAGAGTAAACAGCCTTGTCTGACCCCGGTCCTTACTTGGAATGCATCTGTCAGCTGTCCTCCATGCACGACCTTGCACTGTAGTCCGTCGTATGAGTTCCGGATAATATTGACAATCTTCTCAGGAATTCCGTAGTGTCGAAGAAGTTTCCATAATGTCCTCCTATCTACACTGTCAAATGCCTTTTCATAATCAATGAAGTTGATGTATAGTGACGAGTTCCACTCAACCGATTGTTCGACGATGATCCGTAGTGTTGCAATTTGGTCTGTGCACGACCGATCCTTACGGAATCCAGCTTGTTGATCTCGAAGTTGAGCGTCAACTGCATCCTTCATCCGGTTCAGCAAAACTCTGTTGAAGACCTTCCCTGGTATTGACAGTAGTGTTATGCCTCTGTAGTTTTCACATTTGCTCAGATCTCCTTTCTTTGGAATCTTGATGAGGTGCCCTTCTTTCCAGTCCATTGGCACTTGTTCCTCCTCCCAAATCTTTTTGAATAGAGGGTAAAGCATGCTTGTGGTTACTTCGACGTCTGATTTCAGTGCTTCAGCTGGTATGTTGTCGGGTCCTGCTGCTTTCCCGTTCTTGATTTGTCTGACGGCCGCTCTAATTTCTTCCGTCGTTGGTGGGTTGACATCTATAGGAAGATCTGTGTGTGCTGCTTCGATGTTCGGTGGATTCATAGGAGCCGGCCTATTCAGGAGTTCCTCAAAGTATTCTACCCATCTGTTACGCTGTTGTTGAATTTCAGTGATTGGCTTGCCTTCCTTGTCTTTGACCGGCCTCTCTGGTTTATTGTATTTCCCTGCTAGTTTCTTCGTTGTATCGTAAAGTTGTCTCATATTTCCTTCTCTAGCAGCTTTTTCTGCCGTCGTTGCTAATTCTTCCTCGTATTTCTTCTTGTCAGCTCTAATGCTCCTCTTCACTTGCTTGTTTGCTTCTATGTATTCAGCTTGTGCTTGGACTTTCTCTGCTCGTGTTCGGCTGTTGTTTATTGCTGCCTTCTTGTTCTTACTTTCTTTGATCTTGTCCAGTGTTTCTGTAGAGATCCATTCCTTATGATGGTATTTCTTTAGACCGAGAACCTCTTGACACGTTGAAGTTAATGCTTCCTTGATGCTTTTCCAGTTGTCCTCCATAGTAGTTTCTTCTTCTTTCAGTAGATCTTGTAAGGCTTGGAACCTGTTGTTGAGAGCCATCTTGAATTCATTGAGTCTGTCAGTATCTCGAAGGAAGGCTGTATTGAACCTTTGTATTGCTGTTTGTCCACTTGTCCAGTTCTTTTTTAGCTTCAATTTCAAATTGGCTACAACTAGGTGGTGATCTGAAGCTACGTCAGCTCCTCTCCTGGTTCTCACATCTTCCATTGTCCTTCGGAATTTTTTGTTGATGCAAATATGGTCTATCTGGTTCTCTGTAGTGTGGTCCGGTGAGATCCATGTAGCCTTGTGTATACGCTTGTGTGGAAATATTGTGCCTCCTATGACTAATTTGTTGAATGCACACAAATTTGCAAATCTTTCTCCATTTTCGTTCCTCTCTCCCAGTTCATGTTGCCCCATAATATCTTCATATCCGATGTTGTCTATTCCGACTTTGGCATTTAGATCTCCCATTAGAATGGTGAGGTCCTTTCTTGGGCATTTCTCAATGACTGACTGCAGCCGCTCGTAGAACTGATCTTTAATGTCGTCGTTGCTATCATTGGTGGGTGCATAACATTGGATAATATTCATTAAGATCCCCTCCTTCTTTGTTTTGAATGATGCTTTGATGATTCTGGATCCGTGGGATTCCCATCCTACAAGTGCATTTCGTGCTACTTTGGACAGCATTAGAGCAACTCCCTGAGTGTGTGGAGCATTTTCCTCTTCGTGACCGGAGTATAGCAGCATCTCTCCCGTAGCTAGTCTTTTCTGTCCAGCTTGGGTCTAGTGAGTTTCGCTGATCCTCAGTACTGCTAAGTTGTATCTCCTCATTTCCATTGCTATTTGACTGGTCTTCCCGGTTTCCCACATTGTTCGGACGTTTTATGTACCTATAAAAATTTTTGCTCTGGTTGTTAGAGGGGGCATCGGCCTCGTGGCTTCCGAAGGAACTCGGCTTTCACCATGAAGCGTCATAATTCTTCTAAATGAAGACCTTCTAACTCTCAGGGCAGAGTTAAAATGGTTTGAATTATTTTTTCTGGTAAGCGTTTTTTTAGCGAGTTAGTTTTCTACGGGATGGGGACGCTAACCCCATGCCCAACCCTCCTCCTTTACCCGGGCTTGGGACCGGCAGTAACTCTAGAAGAGCTACAGGCGGAGTTCATCTAGACTTACTCAGAATATATTTTTATTGAAATGATAGAAATAATCTGTAGCTAAAATAAGTACTCTTAGTAATGTTGCGTTCCATTAAGTGAAATGTCGAATTGAAAGGCATTCATTATCATTTTGAACAACATCATCAACCTTTACTTCAAATGAAAGTGAGCTTTTTAAGAATCTTTTCACATGCACTAAATCAGTCCGTTCTAATGAATTTGTTAGTGATTTGTCGTCTTAGCAAGATTTACCACTTTTATATTTCTTTGAAGTTTTGCTGTTTGCTTTGTTCTCTTGAACTCTGACCATGTAATTGATAGATCTTTCCCATATAGATTGATCGCTTATATCTACTTCCATCTGTCTAATGATTCTATTTAGACGTGAATGACATATCTTTATATTCTTTAGTATGTTTGTGTTATAATCTCTTTCATACAGTTATGACCCAGCTATTCCTATTGCTTAGTATTCTCGGACACCGATTCACTCGACAAGTCCCGAAATCAGAACACGGTTGAACAGGAAAGAGATTATATCCCAAACAACAAGGTTAGATTGAAGTAAGAAGCACAATAGGGAAAACGTTAGTATATTTATAGTTTTTACATGAGAAGATTCTAGAGTATTCTTCAAGTATCGACTAGTGCTTATTGGATAAGAATCAGTCAATCAGCGTGCATCAAAGCAATCGTGTATTGAGCATGCTTTAATCCAGTCTATGTCCTGCTAACAGTTTGAAATTTCCTTGATCTACAATCATTCCTTTCATATAGTTGTTACTTGTATACACTGATATAACTGATAACATCCTATGCAGTGTTTTGAATTCCGACATTGTTATCAATACGAATCACAACGTATTTAAAGGAATAGATATAAATTCAAACATAATATATCGTTATCGAGTTACTTTATTCAAACAGTTTGTTCTCTCTCGGTTTTATTGTTCTATAAAATATGGCAGATCCTCCCACTTTCGGTAAGTTACATAATTCTCTTTGTAACCGAATTGTTTTAACCTAACTCCTGTATACGGCTAAATTGTTATTTAAAAAATGAAAGAGATATACGTGCAGGTAACTGTTTTCTAGAATCAAGCTTGAAAACTCATTGCTTTATAGATTGAATAAAATGTGAATTAATTTCTCATGTCAATCACATGTTATAATCACATTCCAACTAATTACGCTTGATGGTTGAGATCATCATTCATTTGTAGCTAGATCACCATGGAAAACCTAGGAGCACTAGACCTCAGTTTCGTCCTACTGTGTAACTCCTCAGCAGTGTGCATCCAGACCGCGCCTTGCGAGATTAAAAATCAGGATCTATCAGTCTTGCGAGTGAACGCTTAACCTCGAGACCATTGAGCGGGCCGTCATCCAACGGTATTAATGTCTAACTTCAACTAATCCCCAAAATCGAGCAAAACATCCACTATTATCATCAGTGAGTTACCATCTCACAACAGACCCGGTTAAATTACTTCAGAATTTAGGTTGTTTTATGTAAACGAAATAAAGTGAGACTGATAGGTCCTGGGTTTGAATCTCGTGAGACGGGATCGTGGATGTGCGCCGCTGAGGAGTCTCGTACTAAGACGAAACGGACGTCCAGTGCTTCCAGGTTTTCCATGGTGGTCTAGCTTCAAATGACTCATGAATTAAACTATAAAAATTACTAAAATCTCCACAAAACCCCTGTTGGTACTAAGTAGGTCTGAATAACTTTTTATTACCAACTTGTTTCGCGTAGATCATGCAACTCAAAGTCGAGTAAATAAAACTATCCTTACTAAACGAATTGTATCCATTACTTGTAAATATACTGAAGTCTTTGTCTAGGACTACTGGAACATTCATCAATTTATCGATAAATTTAATTTGTTGAGAACTCAAAAGATAATCACCTATCTTGATTATGGGATAAGAAAATAAAATCATCATATTGACAAACTACATTAGATATTATTGCGCTAAATCTACACTACATAATATCAGAAGTTTATTTAAGCTACTGATGTGAATTAGAAATAACCCTTCAAATCTTATCCCGATTTTCATATTCTTTGGTTGTATCTCAAATAATCTCAGTTTATGACAACTGCAAACTTATTGGTGTGACTATAACTTATGAACGACCTTTGAGTGATGCTAAAGTGATCTCGAAAATGTCCACCTACTTACTAAAACTAAGTGAAAGTTATAAAGTAGTGTGAAAAATTACGATTATGATTTACAGCTGGTAGTTAAGATTAGAAACTAGATTTATAGTTTCCATCACGAACTAACATGAGCTATAATGCTGAAACTCTATTTAGCCAAATGAATACATGAATTCTGCGCCAAAATCCGAAATTCATTATCTCATACCTGATTGGTTCGTCCATAAATTAAAGTTTCACCTATTTATAATGGTTCTGTAACAGTTTTCTAAGAATTTCGCACTTTCATCTAAAGGCTGTTAACATATTTACATATAACCAACTTCTTATTTATTCCAATCTTTCATCGATCTTGAATTTAACAATTTCTTCTGGCACAAATCCATAAAGTCACTGACAAGTGGACTGAGCCATGTTGGTAAGTGTAGACTACCTGGTTGGGGACCGCGAGATGATAGCAACCGATGGTTAGAGACCCTGAATGACATGGCTCAAAATCGTTTGCAGTGGCGCAGGTGCATCCACTCTTTGTGTTCTCCCAAATTCCAATCTTCTGAATTCTTTATATCCCTTTCTTTTTTCTCTTTCCAAATTTATTTCACTGGATTATACTCCTTGAATGATATCTTCAAACCCTAATCTTTCGGATTACTACCTTTACCAACTGCACCTCTGTGCTAATGTGGTATGGCAACTCGTACGTACTTACGTACGTACGAAGTTCTACGTTGTTACTGACTGACTGACTGAACAATTTCTTCATTATTATTATGCAATTAGTTTCTGAATCATTTGCTTACTATTCACAATATAAACTATTCATTATTTAAATGTATCATCTAATTTAGTTGTTAAACACTGAATAGACATATAATGATCATTAAAGTACATTGGGATAAGTCAAGTAATCCTTAACTATTCTCTCTGTCCAGTTTAAGTTCCGACTATTTTCTAATATTAAATCATTCTTATGATTATCTGGATTTATAGATAATACAACAATGACCAGTACAACAAGTGATTTCAGTGAGTGTAGTTTTAAAGCTTCATTTCAATTTGATTATTTATTCACATATTTGTAATAAACAATGAGATATTACATAATTAAGTGGTTCATAATATCTGTAACTTCTTTTCAGCTGAAAGGTTGAATGTATAAGACTGTGCTTGAATTACTTACCTGAGGTACTATGTCTTATTGCTTGTTAAGTATCAAGTGACAACATCACTATTAGTATACCGACCTCTATAATCATATCCCTGTGCTAAAACAAATGATGCGTCAAACAGCACTAGTAGCCTTGAGTCAACTCTGAATCCTTATCGGTCCTTTGTTTTGTAGCTTCGCACCTAATTCATCCTGTTCAGTCCAGAACACAAATATCAGTTATGTTTGTGTGAATTGCATATTTCAGAAATACTTGGTTTATATAAAAACAAACCAGACCACATCACACCATAAGAGGAAAAATAACTGTTATAAAAGATCCAGCTAAAAGTGACTGTGAATGTGAGATACCATAACTAATAAACTGGGAATAACTTAGGAATAGTAAATCGTATATCAGTAGTCAGCAGGTCAAATGAAAGATTATGATAAAAGAAATATATGTAATAATAGTCCATAAATATCTCCTAGCAGTTACCACTCATTTATTCTTCATTCGGAAAGAATATAGTCATAAACCATTAATATATCACTGTTTAAATACCTATGGTTGTTTATAAATTTATATATGATCATATAGTTAAACATATTACTTTTATGTAGTAGACATGAACATGGTTTACTAATGAACATTTTTATCATTTTAAAATGAATATCAGAAGAGGTTACTTGGAGATTTCAGTAATTTTTATAGTTGAGATCATGAGTCATTTGAAGATAGACAACCATGGAAAACCTAGAAGCACTAGACGGCCATTTCGCCCTACTTCGGGACTCCTCAGCAGTGTGCATCCATGAACATGAGATTAGAACACAGGACATATCAGTCTCGTGCGTGAACGCTTAACGTCGATACCACTGAGTCGACCGGCACCCAACGGTGTTAATGTTCAACTTCAACTAATCCACGAAATTGAGCGACACAACCACTATTGTTATCAGTGAGTTACTATCTCACAACAGACCCGGTTGAACTCCACTGGCTTTCTATGTTGGTCTAGCTTCAATTGACTCATGATTTCGACTATTAAAACTAATAAACGAATCTGATTTTAATCCGTGAAAAAAAACTGTATTCAAATTAAAGACATCTTCATTCATAACACATCTACATGTTGGTAATACGCTTAATGACAAATACGTTCGAAGTGAATCTCTTGCAGGTTTTGTAGGACTCAACAAATTTAGATGATAGACTACAATTCACTGATAATATTAGATGAGACTCTAGGTATATCATCATGTATTGACTATATTTGTAAACAAACTATACAAGATATAGAGCATTATTAGTTCACTAAAGTTTGCAAATTTACTCATTTCTGAAATTGTGGTTACGTATTGTTGAAACATCTGATAACAGATTCTAAATTGACTCAGAAAACTATGACTTGTTAACTCCTATTAATTAGGCTAATTTGCATAAATACTCTGCTAATGGACAAATATAGCTTACTTACGTACCATGTATTGTTATATGAATTGCTATATCTAGATAGGCATATCTAAAGTTACATGCAATACTGAATTTACTTCGATTTATTTATTTCAGCCAATAAACCAGAAGAGGAAAGTAAGTTCCATATAGGACATTCTATTTGTGGATGTTTCGTTTGGTACTCATGGTTTTCATGGATATCGCAGTTAATACTAAAACGTTAACATTAGCCTAGTAGTTAAATTCAATCCATGTAGGTTCGAATCCTGCGAGGCGGGATCGTGGATTCGCACTGTTGAGGAGTTCTACAATAGCGTTCGCGCGTGATACTAATAAGTCCTGGATTCGAAACTTGCTAGGCGGGGTCGTGGATAAGTACTTCTGTGGGATCTCACAATACGACGAAACGGCAGTCCACTGCTTCCAAGTTTTCCAAGGTGATCTAGCTTCGATTGACTCATGATCTCAACTATTGAAATTATTTCTTATTTATCATTATCGCATATAAGTAATATCTTGATTATGTTCATTTGATTTTCTTGCATATTGATATCTAATCCATTTTAATGGTCATTCCGTTTACTTTAAGCCATAAATCCATATTATAATTTTTAACTTGAGACTGTTTAGTTAAGCCAATGTTTACATGAAAAAAACGAAATTAAGCTTTTCATGAATTACTTGTATGTAGTAAATAATTTTCTAAAGTCTTTTCATCTTAGTGACCACAATGAAAAATGTTTAGGCAATTCAATTAAGGGACGAGTATACTGTGCGGCAGTACATTATGGTTTACTTTACGGCTGCGAAACGTGGCCATTGAGAGTAGAAGATATTCGTAAGCTACTAGTATTTGACCACATGCCTTAGAAATATTGCTCGCATCTCCTGGGATCACCGGGTAAGTAATAGTGAGGTGATGGTAAATCAGTTGATGAGGTTTTGAATCTTCATCGGCTGAGATGGTTAGGCCACGTGTTACGTATGTCTGAACACCGTTTACCACAACGCGTAATGCTGACTGGTGCTGGAGACTATTGGATGAAAGTTAGAGGTGGCCAAACCAAAACATTGTATCAGTCCACAATGTCACTAACTTCTAGTCTTAGTCATGTTGATTGATGCAGACTACTTGGTTGGGGTCCACATGACTATCGTAACCAATGATTGGAGACTGTGAGTGACATGACTCAGAATCAATCACAGTGGCGTAAGTGTATTCGCTCTCTGTCTTCCTTTAAACTAAGAGATTAAAATAACTTCATACCCTTATTTCTACGAACTGACTCTTTCTTCCCGTAATGTATCTTTATGTACAATCCTTCTTTTATAAATCACTACCATTGAAGTAACTACTTCTATGAATTCGGTGTTGATCTTGTTGTGCTCATGAGATGTGACAACTTGGATCGATGCATATATGTGCCTGGTCCTACGTTATAGCTGACTAACTAACTGATGATATTAATTCAAAATCTTGGCATACGTTAATCATTTACATATCGAATTACAAGAAAACAAAACTTTACTACTCAAAAACATTAGTTCTTTATTCTAATAACCTTGAAATACTTTGGATAAGATCTAATTAACAATTGGGACAGTAGTTAACTTTTCATAATAATCAATACTAGGCGGCCTATTCGAATATCTGGGCTACCTATTCCTACCATCTGGATATTTCAACAAGTTATCTGATTTCTTGTTTGTTTTAATATATCATTATGCCCATTAGTCGCATAACCTATTCAGGTGAGTTTGTGACAGGTTTACGACATTTCACTATACAAGTTACAAATAAGCCTAATCAGTGACAACATGATTCCTGGCAACGGTATGCATTGAAAAGAATAAACGTTATTCCAATGTCGATTCTTGATCTGCTAACATCTAACTGGAGATCAGCTAATACTTATCGTCAGGATCGATCAAGAAATAAGAAACGGGAACTTGTTGAAATACTTTATGCTGACAATTCTATATCATACCAAAAATATAATAGTGAATAAAGCCACTAATGATAATAATGATAATAATGAATGTTTTATAGTGTTACTTTAATGCTTCTTGTTTCTTGTGTCTTTATCCAATTTCAGACTCTACCACAGATGATACTAATTGTAAGTTTAATTATTCATCAAACTGAGTATATCAGTTATATCTGAACGAAATGAAGATTCTTCTATAAAATAGATTACTTGTTAGTTTAGATGTTATATCGACTGATTTATGGTTGGAGTTATTCCCAACTGTCCGCTCTGAAAATGTGTAGTATAGAGTAGTGTCGGCCAATGTTCTGGGAGAAAGATACAAATATATAGTAAACATTTGGTCTTCAGACCTTTATGAATATTACACAATAATATTGATACAACAATTGAACAAAAGTACTTCCTTTTCAACAAGATCCTCTACTATAATAAGATCATACAACCGGTGACCAAGATTATACTATCACTAGACTATATACACTATATACACGAACTGGAATCACATTATATCGAATACTTGATCCATGACCAGTTATATAGTGAATCAGGGTATAGGTTAGGTTATAGTTATACAACTGTTGGACACCTAGTAGCCCTGAACGGACGTTCGGTTCTAGTATGGAACATCTCATCTACGCCTTGTGCTCCAGCGTTTAGCCACTAAACAAATGAACCGGTATCCAACAGTGTACAAGTTCAGCTTCTATTAACATAAAATAGTCAGTTAACTGGATGTCTGTTTGTCCACGCTCAGTAACCAATCACATTTTACACATCAAATACACAGCCAAATGCAGTACATCAAATGAAAAATGACCGAAAGTGATAATGTACATTTTGTGAACGTTACGGATAACCTCAGTTGTAAGTTATGTACTGAGCTGCAAAACTTCTGTTCAAAGATTGACTCACCTAAAAGACTTTCGTTTAATCTCTCCTGGTGAAACATAATCTTTCCATACGATCATGATATGGACAATGTTTAAAATGAATACATATTACAAAACAAACAAGTAGTTGAATATAAACATCTTTTAACAAGATCTCAAAAAATGTTTTAATTAAATATGGTGTATTAGTATCCATCACCATTCTCATTCCTTTCACCCAATCAGTTCATGTCGTCCCATGATATCTTCATACCCGGTGTTGTCCATTCCGACTTTAGCGTTTTGGTCTTCCATTAGGTACTTTTCAGGGCACTTCTCTGTGATCGATTGGAGCCTCTCGTATAAAGCCTGTTACCTCTCGTGATGCATAGGGTACCGACTGGGGAATCTTTAGCCAACTCACTCCTGGGCTTTCGTTTCAAGATGTCCCCATGTGATATTCAGAATCCTAATTTATGCCTTTGATTCCCGGTGCATTTGTTGCTCTGGGTTTCAGAAGGAATATCAGACTCATGATTTCCGAAGAATCCCAGCTTCCACTATGAGGCATCATGACTCTACTCCTAAGATAGAGTTTAAATGGCTAAAATGATTCTTTCTGGTTACCGTATATTATTAACAAGTTTCTTGTTTACAGAATAGAGTCGGTAAACCCATGTTCAACCATCCTGTTTTATCCGGGCTGGGAACTAGAAGTAGACTTTATTAGGCTCTAAGTAGAGTTAGTTCTGTAGTTTATGGATAGTACAATCACTCTGAAATATCAATATCATATCCCTAATATTTGTCAAGTTTGTTGATGAATTTCATATAAAAGTAAAACATTCGTAAATTGCTCCTAAGATTTCACTGATATCTCAACTAGTGTTGCTTTGAGCTGAATATTGTTAATTAATAGGTTCATAACACTAATCTTGATAGTAATTAAGTGATTTATCTCAAGTATTGTCTCAATTGTTATTATTATTATTATTATTATTATTATTATTATTATTATTATCGAATAGGCCAATCTAAGTTATTCACTACGTCACTGATCTCTTATCATCATCGTCTACGTAAATAAAAATATGAACATAATCATTAGAAATTTTAGGCAAAGATGAATAGGGACTAGCAGTGGAATCCAGGACGAGGGTTTCGTCTTATTTGAGACTCGTCAGCTAGGTGTACCTGCATCTCAGGTTTGATGTTCACTCCGGGACTCGAAACCATCACCGTTAGCTCCAGACGCCATTGCGTGACTCACTTAGCTACTGAGTCCTGATGGTCACTTGTTTTAATAACGGGGTGAAGATACAAGTAAAACAACACCAAGCGAACAATCATCAAACAGTTCATAATTGTTCATCTTAATTATATTATTGTAATAATGGTAAAATATTTCAATGTTTATTTCACTTGTTATTCACTTTTTCACTTTGTAGATACTACAATCCCCAGTTATTCTAGTGAGTTATATCATTCCATTTCATTTGTAAATATCCGTTTTCATTTATTCTAATATATTTTGATGGAGTTTCGTTCTCTTTAATGGATGCTTTAGTTGTGGAGCTTTCATCGTTCTTCTTAACAACATCATCAGCACAAACTTCAGGTGGAAGTAAAGTGTTCGAACAAAAAAAGGGACACCGATGGGATCACCAATATCAGGACTTATCGCAGAAGCAATGAGAAACCTGATGATGTCGTTCAGAAGAACGATGAAAGCTCCACGACTAGACCATCCAGCTCAGAGAATAAAACTCCATCAAAACCATCCACGTGAGCTACAAATCTTCTCCACTCTAATATATATTTTCATTTAACTGATCACTCAATTGATCTATATCCTAAAATGTATTCGGATGAAAGTTTCTAGATTGATTTAGGGTTGTGGAAACAGTTGAGTTTCATTGAAACCACAAGTCGATCTATGTTAGACTCCCACTGAAAATCTGGGAGCAATTGACGTTTGTATCATTCTAGTGTGGAACTCTTCAAAAGTGCGCGTCCATGAGGTTATACCTGGGAATCTAATCCAGGTTATTTGGCCTCACTTACAAATGCTTAAACGCTAGACAACTAAGGTGGCATTCAACGGTGTTAATGTCAAACGTCATTGTTGATTTCTGAGTATTGAATCCAGCTTAAAGACCCATACACACACAGTGAATAAACATTATCTTAAATAAATTGGCTTTTTGTTTTTTGAAGAAGAAAAACTATAACTAATTCAACTTATTTTAAATGCAAAGTTTAAAAGAAATAAATGTTTTCATTCCATAACATTCACATATAAAGCACTACGTTTCTTATGGTGTCCGGAACGCTTTTGTTGGTCCTTGAAAATTCGAGCGAGGCAGTATAATTTTTGTAGTGGGCCTATCCATATCCATAAGGTGAACAGCCTCTTAAGTTTGAACAATGTAAGTAAGGGAATTCGGCAAACTGGATATGTAACTTCAGGAGAAGTATTGACTCTGAGAACCGATTTAGACAGGCCGAGATCAGATACATGTCGGTCCAGTTGAGGGCTGGTGTCTTTTCTACTTTATGTGCTCTGGTGTACATTGTTGTAATTTACTGAATTCTGATTGGCGTCAGTCGTGGATGGCTTCAGCCAAAGGATATCCACATAAAAAGAAGTAAAGGTTACGGGCTGACACCTCTCATTGATGAAATACCCGTGAAAAATGTACTGGCGTGAATTCTGTAATTATTATTTTCAGAATATGTTATCATTATTTATTAAGTAATGTATTTTATTGAACATTAATTTCATCCGCAGGTACTTACATAATCACAAACGATGGTACGTTTTTTTTCATAAATTATACTTTGTATTTTCTTTACATGTTTTGTACGCATAAATCGGAACTTATATGGAACACTTGTAATTAAAAATTTTCAATAACTATGCTATTTTGTGCTATTATCCGGTTTTTCATTCCGTAAGCTAACCCATATTGGCACGGATAAATAGGATGCTACATTGACTACAGAAATCAATTATGAAACAAAACTCAGATAACTGGGCCAAATCCTGACCAAAAAGGCAATCTTTCAACAGTGCTCATTGATCATTTAACCCTTACGTAGCACATACCTATAGGCATATGGTGTGACTGGATTTGTTAAGCTTATCGGAACAACCCATTTGCACTTGGCGTTCGTGCCGAGTTATTGTGGAACTTGTCATCAGTGTCCAATCAAGGGCCCACACACAGGAGTTAAACTCAGGACCTTGAGCCTTGGACATAAGCGCTTAGCCTACAGACCACTCAATGGCATCTGGTAGTGTTGGTGTCAAACTCTAGTCAATCCAGGATATTGAGCGACCACCTCCCACTGTCTACAATAAGATGGACTCACTACATCTCTTTTTTAAAGATGATTTACAATGACACTAATTTTCCTCATAATCTGACACCAACTATAGAAGCACTGAAAACCAAGGAGTGTTGGGAAGGTATTATCTTTGTCTACGTTTTTCAAGTTGAAATACAATTTTCTATGTCCTAAACCCTAGTTAGTTTATGATTTCGTTACTTGACTATAGGTCGAACATCTTATGTATGAACTAGGGATCCTGCCTAATTAAAAAACCGAATTAAAGATTTGAACCTATGACCCAATGATGAGGGTTTCTGTCCTTCACTCATTCATCTGTCAATCGATCGGTTTTGTCTGTAACGCATAAAGCACGCTCCGGTTCGTTTACTCATCTATGAATGACACATTTTGGTATGGAGGTGGATATTGTTTTGTGAAAGACCAGTCTTGTGAGTGGTAGATTGAAAATAGAATATCCTAAATGAATACTATTTAACTTTAATAGTTGAAATCATGAATCAATTGAAGCTAGACCACTATGGAAAATCTGTAAGCACTGGATGGCCGTATCGTCCTACTGTGCGACACCTCAGTACTATGCATCCACGATCCTGCCCCGCGAGATTTGAATCCAGGACCTATCCATCTCGCGCTAGAGCGCTTAATATTTTTTAGTATAACTACTGTACATTGAGGAATTCACTCACAACGTTTGTCGGTTTTCTTTCTCTACCTTTTATTTCTTTAAATTCTGCTCTCAGCTACAAATTTAAAATGTCAACGAATATTCTACATGATAGTTGGATTGATCAGTCTAATGGCAATCAATTAACGAAAAAAAGCACTCATTCTCTGTAATCAATGTATAACTAGTTTCATGTGTATGTTTATATTATATTCTTAGCATATTATTACCATGTTGGAAATAATGCAATTTCGTGTTCATTTTCTGATAACATAGTTAGTTACCAGTGATTAGTAGAAATCTTTGATCTGATGAGTCAGTCATAAAACAATGAGGACATTATACATGTCTGAAGCAGTTCAAGTTACCGTGCTTTACATCGGTATAGTCAGTGAGGGAATTATCACGATGTGAATTAGTTATAGGAATAAGTTACACACTTGTCGTGCAACTTTATGGTCCAGTTGAGGTCCTAGATGTTTATTGTTGAAAATTCTTAATCTGAGGCTGAAAAGCTATCCAATCCTCCTTGGTTCTTACTACTATCGCAGCTAACATCGATCCGCCATAAATATTCCTTAGAAATATGTTAATTATTAAGTCAGAGTATGTAAATCAGATGAAAGATAGCTAACTGTAGATAGATTACAACGTCTTTTATGTGTAGAAAGGAGCTGAATTCTCCTGTTGTTAACATTAATGACCGAATCTTAATCAGTCTTAGCATATGTACATTTAGAGAGAATTAAGATAATTTTTAGGCTAAGAATCTCATATTCATTAGATAAATTAGTGACAATCCAGTCTCAGTAGCTCAATAGTTTTAATATATACCTAAACGTTGAAGTGAAGGTAGATCCAATCGACAAAGCTCAATTAAGACGAAACACACTACCCAGATTCCACCAATCATCATTCTCTCCTGAAAACCATCTTTAAGTTCGATTTGGAAGTGAACATTTACAAAATAACACTATCGTGAATTAAATCCACTTGGTATTATTTGTTTGGATCTTCCTATTGATGTTCAGCACTGTTAATTGATCAGTCTCTTATTGGCATATGTGCATACTGTGCGTATCGCCGCAATATTGCCTTACTTCACAAGCATTATAAGTAAAGATGGATAGTGCCTAGCAATGGAATCCAGGACACACGTTTCGTTCTATTTAAGACTCGTCAGCTAGATGTATCGGCATCTCAGAGTTGATATTTGCTCTGGGACTCGAACTGAATACTGTTCGCTTCAAACTCCACACTATTATCGACTTAGCTATCCCATTACACAAACAAGTGATTATCAGGTTTCAGTAGATAAGTAGATAACGTGATAGCGTTCGAGTCCCAGAGTGAATATCAACTCTTTGAGATGCATATACATCTAGCTGACGAATCTCAAATAGAATGAAACGACCATCCTAAATTCCACTACTAACTACTATCCATCTTTACTATCATTAATTATTTGTTCCTTATCTATCATTACAATCATTACAAGTAGTGCTTTCTTTCTATTCCTTAAATCTATAGATTTCATAAAACAATTCATTAAACTATTAACCGTAAACTGTTAGTAACAGTAATTGAATAGTTACCTTTCTCCCCTTTTCTTGTAATATGAACATTTTATTGATTTAAATCAGAGTAATTAGTTACCAAATTTGAATGATGTATATTTAAAAAAAAATTTTTCAAAACTATAATAGATATCATACAATAAAAATGAATTAATATTTATTTTTAGAAGGGGGGTTTTCTGGAGATTGTAGTCATTTCAATAGTTGTGAATATGAATCAATTGAAGCTAGACAACCATGGAAAATCTGGAAGCATAGGATGGATGTTTCATCCTATTGTAGGACTCCTCAGCAGTGCGTATCCAAGATCCCGCCACGTGGGATTCAAATCCAATACCTATCAGTCTTACTGATGACAATGGCGGATGTGTGGCTCAATTTCGTGGATTAGTTGAAGCTAGGCATTAAAATCATCGGATACTGGTTGATTGGTATCGAGGTTAAGCGCTAGCGCGTGAGACTAATAGGTCCTGGATTCGAAACTCGCTAGGCGGGGTCATGGATAAGTAATGCTGTGGGGTCTCACAATACGACGAAACGGCCGTCTAGTGCTTCTAGGTTTTCCATGGTTGTCTAGCTTCAATTGACTCATGATCTCAACTATTGAAATTAATACTTTGTTTATTATGTTAATAATAAAATGAATATACTGAATCTAAACCAAAAAGAAATGATGAATTCGTGGAATAAAATATTCAATATAATTTTGAAATTTAGGGTTCAGGAGAAAATGAGTAATAAGTAGTGTTTGAGTTATTTGGTGTTGATTCTGAACTGTCATTCAAGGTCTTCAACTATTGACTTTGATAACTGAAAGGATCTTCACTATGTAGTTTACGTTTACTTACGTAGATCAGAACAATAGTTATTGACTTAATGATATTAGATTTGAAATTCATTTCGGTGGTGATTTCATCCAGTACTACGATAGACAGATTAGAAATCAATCGCGAGATATACACTGTTAGTAAGTTAGTCAGATACAACGTAGGACCAGGCACATATATGCATCGATCCAAGTTGTCATACCTCATTAACACAACAAAATCAACACCATATTCATAGAAATAGTTACTTCAGTGGTAATGATTTATAAAAGAAGAATTGTGTATAAGAACATAGTACAGGAAGAAAGAGTTAGTTCGTAGAAATAAGGGTATGAAGTCATTTTAATCTGTTAGTTTAAGGGAAAACAGTGAGCTTATACACTTACGCTACTGTGATTGATTCTGAGCCATGTCACTCACAGTCTCCAACCATTGATTGCGATAGTCACGCGGACCCCAAGCAAGTAGTCTGCATCAATCAACATGACAAAGACTAGAAGTTAATGATCTCAATGAATGATGCCACGTTTTGGCTGGTTCGACCGCACCTAACTTTCTCCCAACCATCCACAACACTAGTCATGGTAATTGGTGTTCAGACATACGTAACACGTGACCCAACCATCTCAGTCGATGAAGATTTACAATGTCGTCAACTGATTTACCATCATTCCCCAATACCCTGAGTCTAACCCCACTATTACTTACCTGGTGATCCCAGCATATGCGAGCAGTATTTATAAGACATCTGCAATCGAATACTAGTAACTCACGAGTATATTTTACTCACGATGGCCACGTTTCGCTGCCGTAAAGTAGGACAGAACGAATTGCCACACAGCATACTCGTTCTTTTAATTGATAAACGGATATCCCGCCTTTGCCATAGGTGACGTAAGTTAGCAAAAGCCAATCGAGCTTTTCGAATCCGTGCTGAGATTTCGTCAGACACCAACCCATTAGGACTGATCAGACTTACAAGATATGTGAAGTTGTCGATGCGTTCGACTACTTCACTCTCTATCCTTAGTTCAGGTGTTGACACAAGCCAGTCCTAATGCAACAACTTGCATTTAGAGGAGGAAAAACACATTCCAAACATTCTGGCATTGTTGTCTAGTGCTACCAGAAGCCTCTGCATTTTGTCAGCGTCTTCACCAAACAGGACTATGTCATTTGAGCATTCTAAGTCGATAAGTGGACCTCCTGGTAGGAGATCAATGCCCGAAAACTCAGTCGATGAGAACGTTATTTCCATCAGTAGGTCTATGATGAAGTTGAACAAAAATGGGGATAATAGACAGCCTTGACGGACACCACTTGAGGTTGCAAAAGCAGATGACAGTTCGCCATAAGCTCTGACTCTACTAGTAATGTTCGAGTAAAGAGCCTTGACAAGGTTTATGCATTTCTAAAGTACACCTTCCAATGACAGACACCACCACAGAACCTGTCGGTCTACCGAGTCAGATGCTGGTTTTTAAGTCAATAAAGACCACCATTGTCGGAAGCAGATAAGTATGTCTGTGTTCTAGAGCCTGATGAATGGTGAATATGTGATCGATGCAGCCATGATCAGAACTGAAGCTAGCCTGGTTTTCTCGTGTCTGCAGTTCACGAGTCTTTGTTAGGCCTCCGATAACTATTGAGGCTAGTATTTAAGATGCTATATTAATCAAAATAATCCCTCTGTGGTTATCACAGGATGATTTTGACCGCTTCTTATGTATTGGTACGATAAGTGATTGTCACCAGTCAGATGGGATTACGTCCAACTCCCAGATTTCATCTAAAATAGTAGTCAACCTGATCGCCAAAACTGGACCACCATCCTCAAGAACCTCCGGAGCCAATCCATTTGAGCCAGCTGCCCTTCCTCGTTTCGGATTAGCTACAGCTTTTTGAAGTACAATTAGAGTCAGGGGACCTACTCCAATGTTCCATTCGGGTTGTTTGGGAATAGTAGATAGTTGTAAAGTAGCTGAAGGCTAACGGAACTGCTCCTTAAAGTGTCCCACTCCTCGTTTTTAACATCTGAATTGAGAGCACATAATAGTGCGGTCTTTTCCCGAGATCATCTCACTTACACTTGACTTCTTAATTCCAGTTTCTTTTATTAGTATGGAAAGCTGTCTGGTGTTGCCTACAGCCGATGCCTTTTCTATCTCTTCTGCTTTCGTTGCCCACCACTGCTGATGGCCGTTCCTAAAACTTTTGCTTAACCAAGATCTTATTTTTTTACGCTCTTCATCGTGTTCACAGCCTGATGGGGTGAGTCTACGAGAATCCATCAATGCGATAGACTTAGAAGAAATACATTGATTTTTTCGTAACTCTTTGGTTTAAATCACCAACAGATGTCACTGCTGTTTCCACAGCTGCTTGTATATCTTTCCAAGCAACATAAGGGTCAGCCTCGTTTTCAGAACTACCTAAGTGTGACCTCAGTTGTTCCTGGAACCTACATTTAGTTTTCTCGTCACTTAATTCAATTCTAATAGGTCTCTTTAGTGTGACGTTTTTGCGTCCAGTGAAGCGCAAGAAGATTCGTCCCCGTATTAAAGCATGATCGGAGTCCAGGCAGGTATTCCAGAATGAGCGACAATCTTCTATCGACCCTCTCCAACGATGAATGATAGCAATTTTTGAGTCCATCGTCGATTTGGCACAGGGGGTGGCCATGTTAGACGGTGTCTCTCCTTGCGCTTAAAATTAGTGTTTGCTAAAAATAAACGCTTGCCTGAGCACATTTGCAGCAGACTATCACCATTAAATGTTCACTGAACCAGGATACTAAAACACCCACGTAAATGTCCTTCTGTTTGGTTTAAGCTACCTACCTGAACATTAAAGTCACCTGCTACGAGTACCATGTGTGAGCGTTTAGCCTTATAAGGAACTTTAGAAAACTTTCTGTAAAATTCATCTTTCACTTCATCCGGGCTACAGTCAGGAATGAGGAAAAGGCAATGACGTGTGTCCCTATCCCTCCGAGTTCTTACGGAGCCGTTAAGCGGAACAGCACATAGATGACTGTTAACAGGGATCCACTTCAATAGTGGTTGTTCTGCCCTCGTACTTAGTGCTATGCCTACACCTGCCAGTCCACGAGAACTAGTCATCGGGTCGCCAGATACACGGAGGGTGTAACTCGTCGGCTCTTTGTTTTAGCTAGGTGAGGTCAAGTGAATGATCACACTAAGATATTGTATGCGTGTTTAGAAGACAGTGTTAACCTTACATCTCTACAGGTCGACAATGTGTCCAAGGTGTATCCACACACATATTAACTGAAAAGGTAGAACACTAAAGATTTAATTTCCCAGTGGGACATACGTTTAAAGGAGCTCAACTCATTCCACGAGAATAGTGGATATTAAACCAGTCTAACGTGAAGATAACCAAGAGTAAACCAACCTACTTTATCCCTAAAAACGAAGGCCATCTGAAAATCATTACAAGTCATGAATCCTAATTTAGGTTTTCCCATTCACTATGCTACTAGCTATACTTTCAGCTGACTGGTGAATTAATTACAACAAAGTTAAAATAACCCATTGTATCATTGAATAAGAATAAAGACAAGTGATCCTATTCCAGTATCCAATGAAGATCATAAGCATTCCAAAACAACTCTTGTAGACTGTTGTAATCAATATGTAAACAAAATACCTACAATTAATCGATTACTCACAAAAGAGCATAACTCTCAATTACCTGATTTTCGGAGAAATCAGGACTTAGTGATATGTCGCCTAGACAAGGGTGCAAGAATTTTCCTTACGGATCGTCTTGACTATGTTACCAAACCATCTTCGATATTATCTGATCCTGTCAAATTCTCCCAAGCAACCGTTCAAAAAAGACGCAACTGAATGAACAGATGCTAATTAAAATCCTAAGGAAGATGAAAGATGAGTTTATTATCATTTGTGACCTCCATGAACATCTTAAACCATCGATTACCGTTATACCAACGCTATATGGACTCCCAAAAGTTCATAAGAATCATGTTCCTCTACGTCCTATATGTGATATGAACAACTTTCCGTATCACCTGATTACTGAATGGTTAGCTGATATTTTGCAACCCGTTAAAAATCATATCAACAAATATAACTTTCTTGATTCCTTAGTTGAGTCAATTAGAAATATCAATGTAAATGGTAGGAAAATGATCTCATTAGATGTCACTTCTCTTTTTACAAATGTTCCTCTCACAGAAACTATTTTTTTATGTGACTATATTGACTACAATAACCTTGATATTTTTATCGCAAAATATCATCTAAAAGAACTACTTCTACGATG